GCATATATTTTTTTAAGCTTCCTGCAATCTTGCCCCTTGTGGTCATATGCCAATATAAGAAATACCTGTTTACATGAGAATGCATTCAAGATGTAATGCAAATAAGATAATTGCATGTTATAAAAATAGCAGAAAGTTATGGTAGCATCTAAACTTTGGTAAACAAAACTCTCCTTTAAAAAATGCACTGTAGTTGGTTAGCAAAAATCTACTAGATGTAACTTTGGAGTTATGTGCCACCTAGTGGTCACACACAACATGTACTTCTATGGCGGAATGTCTGCATTTCTAGGGCATGTATTTTCTAATATTTTCATGCTGATTAAAAAGTAAAAGTTAATACAATTCTTGCATTCTTTCATATTATATTTTGCATACAATATTAAGCATTCACATACAGATCTGTAGATTCTTCCCATAGTGGCGATTAATATTTAACATATTAATAAGCACTTCACCAGGGATACATATGGCCCCTTCTATAAAACACAATAGATGACTGACTGAAATATAACATGTCAACATATGTTCTTCAGTGGGGAATGGTGTGAGCGTGCCGTCCACAGCTATGTCCAAGGGTTAGTGGGGATAAGGTGCTGGACCACAACCTTTTTTTAAATTTAAATAGGAGCATGATTTGGGCTTGATGGCTTGGTTCCAGCAGCTCTTCACAAAACGGGGGACCTTTCAGAGGGAGGGGATGCCCAGAATGAGAAATTCATGTGAATGAAGGCTAAAAAAAAAAAGAAGAGAGTGCCAGGTAAAAAAAAAAACCTTTATGGGCTTCACAAATGGTGACAGGAAGATATGCACAGCAAAAGTGCATCAGGGATCAGGAATCCCCCTTCATAAGGGATTAAACAACACTGATGAACTCTAAACTTACAGTACCTGCAGACAATCCTATCACTCAGGCAGGAATGGAAATCCTTGCTGTGAAAAAAATCTTTACCGGTAGTTCAGCATTTGTACAAGTCTCCAGTTATGCAGATGCCAACCCACATACACTTTATTATTTAAGAGGGGGTCCAAAAAATGAATCTCTCTCCCAAATCCTCTATGTTTGATTTTTTTTAAGGTGGCAAAAAAAGAGAATTTTTTTTTACTTATTGTAAAATCAATTTTTTGGAGTTCATTAATGAACACAGTATTCAGTTATTCAGAGACAATTGGGTTATCTTGCCGCCTACAGGTAGAATAGGACACTGGCAAACAAAAAAGCAATTGGCTAGCCAGATATAACTTCTTCCACTCCCATCATGCTTCAGTTTTGTAGAAAAGCAGTACAAGGTGTAGGTCACAATCACAGAGGGGAGGGATCACTGTCCCGAAATGAACTCCAAGAAATGGATTTTATGGTAAGTTAAAATGATTTTTCTCATTTTTCATTTCACTCATTAAGGAACACAGGATTCAGTTATTCCGAGAAAGTTAGGTCACCCAAAATTAGTCCAGCTAGGGATGGGCAACAGTAACAAAAAACTAACAGGCTCACATAACAAAACAGTAAAACTGGGGGCAGCCTGCAGCTCAACGTGATGCCTGAAACTGGCATCAGATGAGGTCTAAGCATCCACCTGGTAAAACTTAGAGAAAGTGTGAACAAAAGACCAAGTGGGAGTCTTGCAAATTTTGGAAACAGATGCCTGATGCCAAAACACTCCATGGTAAGAAGCATTCACCGATCTAGTAGAGTGCTCTTTGACAGGAAACGTTGGAACCTTGTCCTTAAGACCATAAGCTTAAACAATGATTGATGGCTGAGAGGTAAACCCACACAGCATGACCTACATGCAGGCAGTGACAGAAAATGTCCTTTTGATGGTTCACAGAAAGATGGAAGGACAATGTCCTGGCTGAGGTGAAAAGTCAAAACCACCTTATAAAGGAAGGAGGCTCTATGCCTCAATACCACCTTATCCTTGTGTAGAATTAAACAGAGTTCTGAACAGGACTAGGCTGCCAGCCGAGATACATGCCTAGGTGAGGTGATGTCAACAAGAAACACAACCTGGTGAGTGAAAGTGGCAAGGGGAATATCCCTAATGGGACCAAGTGGTAGGGCTACAAACTGGTAGTATTGAGTGCTCACAGCAAAACGGAGATGGCGTTGATTCGCTGAAAAACTGGGGACATGCAAGTTTGCATCCTTGCTTTCCACAGGTACTAGAAACTCTGTATGGTGGAGGTAGGCTATGACAGACCTGGTGGATTCCATGCAATATTTTCGGACTCAAATGAAGACATTTAAAGACTTCAGATCCAAGATGGTGCAGATGCCTCCTTTTGGTTTTGGCTGCAAGAACAGCATGAAGGTCTGCTAGTCTGTGTGGAGACACAGGCAGGCTGGACAACATGAAGCAGGTAGGGGGCAGAGAACAAAACTCTAGCTTGTGGCTTCTGGAAACCACGTCTCTTACCAAGGCATCTGAGATGCTTTCTAAGTGTCTGCAAAAAGCCAACAGATGTCCCCCCACTTTAGAAAGTGGGGACACACCATCAGGCCAAAGAAGACTTTTATGAGGGTGTGGGAGCTTTAAGGGCTCAGAGTTTGTGAATGAACTGGGCCCCTGGCTTAGGTTTTGGCCTTGGAGGTGGAAGCTTTGGAGTAACAAAATGAACTGTCCTTGGTCTCAGAGATGGGAGGAGGCTTTCCAGTTTGTGAGTTAGGCTTATTTGCTGGGGTAAATCATACTTTTACTCCAGTGACATGCTTTATGAGGGTGTCCAAAGAGACATTCACCATCAGCAGGCACGTGCACAAAAAGTTTTGATAGTCTTGGGGACCTGCACAAGCAGAGCCCAGTTTGCCACATTTCTGGCAAACTCCACAATCTTCAGTGCAGTGGGTCCTGAAACAGTCTCCAAAGCTACTGCTGGAGATACACTGTTCCCAAAAGCTGCATAAAAAGCCCAGCTCTGCAGCAGGTAGATGGAGTCTTGATTAAGGAAAAATAATCTTGAAAAAGAGAAAATGTCTACTAAAAATGGTTAAACTTTTCTTAGTCAAGAAAAGTTGTTCATCCTCCTAGGACACTAATAAAAAAACTGAAGCATGATGGCAGTGGAAGGGGTTTATACTTGGCTGGCCAAAGGCTTGAGCGATTTCCTGCACAGAGGCCTTCACTAGAGAGTGAGAGGTAAGCAGCCCCTGGAAAAGAATCACCTAGCCTAGGCAGAAATTTGGCAGAAGGTCTGGAGATCCCTGGTCCTGGCAACAAACGTGTCCAGCTTACTGTTGAATGCCAGGAAGTCCATGCCCAGTATCCCAAAACACCACTAGGTTAAGGAGCAATTCTACAGGATACAGATGTTAACTGAGAAAGTATGCCTAACAATTTTCCACGCCTGGGATTTGCACAGCAAACATGGCTAGGGCATGAAATTCTGCTCAAGCCAGGATAAGGTCTGCTTCCCTTTGAGCTGTGTTGTCCAACTGAGTCCTGGTCAGCATTTAGGGGATAAACTATCCTGAGATACAAAATACTGGTTGAGAGATGGCCAAGTCCCTTGAACAGAGGGGTTGCCAGGACTCCTCCCAGTATGAAAGGCTGGCATCCATTGTGAGAGTACCTTACAGACCATTGGGAGAAATGATTTTCCATGTTCCAATCATGGGTCGGAGATCCACCACGATAGGTCAAACTTGGTCTTCGTGGGCAAGTTAATGGGCAGGTCCAGGAACTGAGCTGGCTAGCAGCTTATTTAAAGTGACAGTTAGCACTCCCATTAAGATCAGTGTTTGACATTCCCAACACCATTCCAATGTTGAGAAATGGTCCCCCGAAGTACGCTGGAAAACAAACACTTCCAGGTGTATCCACACATAATAGACCAATTGATATTAATTGGCAATCAACATTGCTTAGCAGAACTTTTGCTTCCTATTATCCTTAAAGCTGAAGTTGAATCTGCTTAATATTTGCATTCCTTGGTTTTCTTCCCTCCCCACTTTAATCAACATGCTAATGACATTTTTAAATAAAACCTTGTTTCGATTGCATACCTTATTTTAGACCCAGTAATATCATATCACTGCGTCTCTGTGCATCTTTATGCAATGCAGATAATGGCTGGTGGGAGGGGCCAGAAGGGTGCTTTTACATTGCTTCCTGAAAACATTACAGCACCCTGCCTCTGTACTCCTCTGAAGAGCCCTCAGCTCTGATGCAAGCAGTCGCCTGGCTCCTGGAAGGAATTATGCAAATATCAAAATGCCTTGATGAGTGGTTGTCATTCTGGAGGAGTGGACATTCCTAGGCATGCTGGATTTACTTTCTTTCTCAGTTTCTGCAACAGGAAACTCTGACTGTCCCCATAGAAAGACTTCAGCTTACAACTAATAATGAGATCTTCCAGTACAGTACAGACAGGGTTAATTATATTATTAACCTCCCATACCCCTTGTATTCCAAAGCAAAACTCAGTACAGAGAACAACTTTTCTTTAAGAAATGAGAATGTTTTGTGCAAGCAGCAATGTATTTTTTTATTTTAAGTGCTATGTGAATAAGAAACATATGAAAATATAAAATAGTTGTTATCCCTAACTGGCTGCAAAAATGGAAATACAGTTTAAGGTGAGAAGAAAGCCAAGGATAAAAAGTGTAGAGAAGTCTCCCAAAGTTGGACCCTTCCCCATTGTATTCAAAACGTAGAAAAGGTTTTGCCTGGAATTCAGCTTTCGTAAATCATTTCAATGATAAAATGCAAATATGCTATTGCAGAATGTTGTCACAAATCATTATGAGGCAAAGGTATTATTCCAAGGGCCTGCTCCTACACAGAAATAGTGATGTCCCAGTGGAGCTTATCTTTTTGGAAAATACTGAGCAACACTTGTACAATGTGCTAGTATTGTGATCCTATGAAGCCCACCACCTTTCTATAAATACCAATGTGGCATGGAGGGAACCCTGCTGCCCTACCAAAGTATAATTTCCTAACACTTGTTGATAGAAAAGTATACATCTGTTTATATATACTGAAACATGACAAACATTACAGAAATAGATGTTCTCCAGTTAAAAAATCCCCCATTACTATACGTGTGTGTGCAGCTGACCCTGTGATGATCTCTGCATCTGACTGAAGAACAATAAGAACCAAATGCAAGGCTCTACGCCATGCCTCCAGCTTTGGGATCACATTATCAAACACAGTGGGTCTATGTGATGAGGGACGTTCTTGACCATCAACTGAAACAAGTTTTCTGACATATTCATTTAAAATATATGAAGAAGGAGAAGGAAAATCTCTAATGACCTTTAGTTCATTTTCTATGAAAGTCATGGCTTCCAGCTCTGAAGAATAGTCACCCATATTACAGAGAAGAACGGAAAGATATTTATAGAAACCATCAGCAAGGCACTTGTATATATAACCTTTGTAATGTATGGCAGTGGTAGAAAGCCATGATGAGGGATAAGTTCCTTTACTGGCTGAAACAAACGTTCCAACAATTCCTTCAAGTTTTCTAAGATGGCTGAGACACAACAGTTCAACTGCACCGCCACCAGGAAACACTTTCTGGTCATAAAGGGCGTGATGTATTCTATAAGTGCAGGCCCAAAATTCATCTTCCATTAATTCCTCTTTTGCTGGCAATCTGCAACTTATAACAGCGGTGACAAGATTCAAACCTTTTGCCCTGAGGTTAACAGCAATGCTCTGACTGCATTCTATAATGTTCTTCCCCCGCATACATATACTTACATACACATTGCAGCCTATGCTGTTGTAATTAATCTGTGTTAGGTAAGTCACAGGTTCTGCTCCTGTGCATTCACTGAATGCCTGCAGAACATATTGTCTTACGTGAGGGATAACCAGAATACCTCTACAACTGCACTGCATCATAAACTCTTGACAGACATCACCCGCCACTAAAATTACATCAATACCAGCTTGAATCACTTTTCTACAAACATTACTTATCCATGAGTGATCATGTCCACTACTTTTAAACTCCGCTATTGACCTTACATTTGTTGCCTTATTGAAGCCTACATGTCTAAAATTCTCAGCCACTTCTCCATCCACAAGAAGGGCTTTCAAAGATTTGCCTTCTAAGTTCTTGACCATAGCATAATTCTCTGCTGTCACTAAAGTAGTGTACCCAAAGAAAGCATTCGAGAACGCCTCCGAGTGACCTTTTAAAAAACAAAGTTCAAGCCTTGATGCCTGAAAGAGATTTTTAGTGACAGATTTTGCCTCAGTGCTTTCACAGAGATGAAGAACGGCCTCTTCCACAAGACTCATGGTTTCTGAATTTCCATGACTTAAAGATCGTGTTAAATCCATTAAAGTATGATTATTGGTGGGAAGTGTTGATCCTGAACTGTGAAAACAGCTTCTGTTTGAGACTGAGAAGTGTCTGCTATGAGAGAGCCTATTCATTTGACAAGCCTGGCCTCTAAAACCTCCTGGATGAGTAAATTGCATATGCATCCTGTTTTCAGGCAGGTCATTTGAATGATGAAAACCAGATGTAACAACAGGTCGATCTGTGCAGGAAACGGAGTGAGATTTGCTACTTGGCATACAAGCATTACTTCCCTCTCTTTCAAGTATCTGGTTATTTAGATTTAGTTTAGTTATAAGGACATTATCAAGTTTTATGTGTAAAGATTCAACAATTTCAATACAAGAGTTAAGTCCTTCTAGCATTATTGAAACAATTAGTGAAACAGGAACCCCTTGGTGAAGACATTCCAATACAGCTTTGCTCCAAGCTCCAATGAGAAAAAACAATGAGGTTGTACCAGTTCTGTATATTTTATGGTGGGCTTGAATAGTTTCATAAAGAAGTTGACCAACTGCACCTGTCAAGTCTAGATTCGCCAGAAGTCGAAGTGCTGAGCACGTTAGAATACTCTCTTGGGTATCTTGGTCGTAAATAAACTTGTATGACTTGAGAGGTCCAAGGAAGGACTTTGCTGAAGACGACAGGTCGCATAACTCTTCAAGTCCTATGTGGGCTCTGATGTTCATAGCAGTCATTATATGGCTTGCAACAGATTCCTGTGATTAAACGGAACACAATTATTAAACACAACTTTTTCGGCTTTTTGATTTTACAGGATTTTCTATCACTATTATTATTTTGAATCCACTTCATTTAAAAGTGCTTTCAAGGATAACTGGCTGATCAGTCAAGCACAGACTACCGGTTGCCTGGGACCTCAAGCTATTTCTGATGCAAAACAAATCATCCCTAAGGAAACGTCCCCCCCTGTTTATTCTTAGTTGGTCTCTTACCTAGATATGCCTTTACCAGCACCAGTGCGACTTCCCAGAATAAATGTTTGAATGTACAGTGACTTAGGCCCCTTTCAAATGGACTGATCGGGGGGTGGCCTCTGTGCATGAATCCCTTCCTGATTGGAGCAGTACAGAGTAGATGTCACTGCTGTGACACATGTCTGTCCAGTTTCTTCCTCCATTTTGCGATGGAGGAAAAAAATTCAATGACTGGACCCCATGTCAGTCTTTAGAAAATTGGATGCAATCATATATGTGTCTGTTTACATCAGATTACCCCTGACCTGGCACGATCAGGTCCAGTGACACATTTTAGATCATGTGGTTGCATTGGTGAGGAAGGGGCGTATTTTGGAGATGTTACGAAGGTGAAGGCGGCAGGATTTGGATAGTGATTGGATGTGGGGCAGAAAGGTGAGCTCATAGCCCAGAATTACACCTAGCACCTTGGCATGGGGGGGGGGAGGAGGGATAGTTGTGTTATCAATCTCAAGGGGAACGTTAAGGGAAGGTGCAGTTTTTGAATTCTAAAATGTCAGCTACAATAAAGTTACTCTCATACACTGTGGTTAGCTGCATATATAAGAAATATAATCACTTAGGCTGGGTTCACACCTAGGCGTATTACGCATGCACGTCTGTCGCGCGACCGTCACACGGTTCTTTTTTTACCGCGATTTGCGGTAAAAAAATCGCGCGACCGTCGCGCGATTCCGAAGGCTACTTGGCTGTATCCCAATGGAAAACGCCCTCCAAAACGGCCCAAAGAAGTACATGTACTTGTTTGGGCGTCAGCCGTTTTGTAGGGCGTTCAGACGGGCGGAAATACGGAAAGGTGTGAACCATACCCATAGAAAACAATGGGATTTTCATGGTTGTACGTTTTGTAGAGCGTTCATAGAGCGTTGAACGCCCGACAAAACGGAAAGGTGTGAACGGGGCCTTACCAAACATACCTATAGCACGAGGAGTAAAAGGCTAATGGAACACATTTGGGGGTCTCTGGGTAGTGGGTAGCCCCACTGCAAGGGTTAGTTTTTATTCTTTAACTTTGATACCATTACTTCAATAGCTGCACCTGTGGATTTTATTTTAAAAAACACACTAACATCCACATGCAAACCAGCCATGTATTAATAAATGGGAGTTCTGTCCAATGCAATCAGTTACCTGCCCTTTCTGCTGGACCACCTCCCCTCGCCCACACCAAGCTAGCTTAGCATACTAGTTGCTGCATTTTGCGAAGTACAGCGCTATTTTCCCTATGGCAGAAAGGTTTTCTCCCATTTTATTGGCACAATTACATGCAGTAAATGATGTGGACAAGCACAGGTGTAACACCAGCGAAAACAGTTTTCAGCGTGCTGCTTGCCGGTACTGACCTGCACGGCACAACCACACGCGCTAATCCATTCATCCCAACAACACCGTCCTCCATGCTAAAACCAGACTACGCCCCTGGACCCCATAAGGAAGCAGGGACCTTGTGGTACGCTTGAGAAGAGATAGGCGTGGCCGCCGTCCCAGGCCTGCGCGCCGAGTGGGCGGAGCGTTGCTATGGACACGCTCTAATGAGCGTCTGTTGTGTAAACGTTCTTCTGGTATGGCGGGCAGAACGGCGGGCGCCCATTGTTGCTGTGCTGTTGCAGGGCGCTGCACCTAGACGTAAACACGAGGGACGGGGCGGGAGCCGCAGCTCCAGGCGCCTCCCCAGTGTGTGTTGGTGGCCGTAACCCAGTAACAGAGTGTCCCTGCAGCCAGAGCTAGGAGGTCTGCCCGGTACATTGTGAGAAGAGCTGCTCTTCAGGAAATGGTAGGTCTGCTCACCGGCATCCCCGGATTAGAAGTACATTGTGGTAATGGCCAGCAGCCTGTCTGTAAATCTGATTAGATTGCTTCGTCACGATGGCTGCCTTCAATTCGGCCATATTCAGAGGGTCTCCCTCATTATCTGCTTCATCAAGATATACGATTACATTGGTGGAAAACTGCATGGGTAGAAAACGGGTAGTTGGGTGATATTATGTAGAATTTAAAGGTATCTGTTTGATAAAGATGACGTCATTAGAGACAAACATTAGTGTCAGCTCACATGTCATCAATTTCTCTATGCACACCGGCATCTGATGTAGGCCAGGGACTCCTATGAATATTTATTATATGATTCTCCATATTCCAGGGAAGGGTGCAGGTTGTTATCACATACAGGATGTTGTCAAACATTTTAGATGTAAAAAAATGATATATTATACACACACCAGCGGCATCACCAGGCTGGGTCTCACCCTCTGCGCGTGTCATTACGTATACACATGATGTCATTACCCACATGCGTAATGATGTCACATGCACTGCCGACATTCATCACTAAGAGAGGAGGGGATGTTCATCAAGTGGGATAAGGCATGCTGCTGGGTCCCCTCCTCTTTCGTGCAGCTCTCAGTCCATGGTCGAGTCCCCGACTCTTCAGACATTGTCGTTTTGGTGTCACCTGGTGCGGCCCGCACCCCCCTTGTGAAGATATTGCTATGCACAACAAGGGGAATTTACTAAGACTGGAGCAGACATAATAACCAATCAGCTTTTATCTTTCATTTTCAAAGCTTAACTAAGCAAGAATCTGATTTTTGATGGTTACTATCCACAGATGCTTTAGTCGATTTCCCCTGATATGTTTGAGAGTATAATAAAATAACATATAGCTTGCAATATAATACTATTGGATCACTTTGAGCCACACAGGATATTTTTGTTTAAATAGACTGCTCAAATTTGAATCCTGCAGGCACCCTTCCGTTCCAAAAAAAGTAGATTTTTCAATCGACTTTAGTCGATGGCGGAAAATTGTCATCTGAGCAATGACTGCAGCCAATCAGCTGCAATCACTTTTTCAGGTTTTCTGACACCCCCTGGCATCAGTTCTCAGAATACAATAGCCCTGTAGAGGAATGTCCCATGTTCATGCTGTTTAACATGGATGGGGGTATTGAGAGGTTTTCTTTTATCTCATTAGCCCGGTGGAGCTGAATGAGAACAAACTTCTGGTGTATGGCCAGCTTTAGCTTGCTAGGAGCTACCGGTCTTCTTCTTTAACCCATAAAGCATGCCTGGCATAACCGCGCCTGTAATCCCCTCCTGCAGCTATGTTTGTCTTTGTATGCACAGTATTCCATGGCTCACACAAGCTATTCAGGCAGGTCAGTAAGTACGGTAGTTGGTAGGGGTGCTGTAGATGCAACCAATCGAGCAGTCTGTCATATAGTTGCCAGGAGTTATTGATCCTCAAGGGATGAGTCATGGAGCCGTTCTTTCCAAGTCAGCAGAGCATCAGTACACCACTATAAATGAGCATAGCACACCACTGAATCAGTATGGGATCCTCCTCATCAGTATTTGGTGATTCCCACACAGTTCATACCCCGCGTTTGTTTATTCCACCCGTCCGACCAATGTATCCTGGAATGATGGTAAACTGTTCTCCTACAAAGGCTGAATTCTAGATTTCAGAAGTGGTACTTGTATTCATGGATGCATGGGTTCTGTTAATCATTGTCTCGTATACAAAGCACACAACTGAATTGCGGATCAGAGGATCAGTCTTTACCTTTTTAAAGCAGTGACCGAGCTTCAGGTTGTAACCGCATGAAGAGCGGGCTGGGTCTTGTATCTCCATCAGCTGTGACTCCTCAGCCTGCCAGAGAAACTTATCTTAACAATAAAGATCCAATGATTTACCTTTTTTTATTTACAAGAGAGCAATGTGTACGACCATTACTGCCTAGAACGTGGCCAGTGATTGTGAAATAACAGCAGAGGGTTTTCATTATTTTATTTTCTTGTTTAAGGCAACAGTGCGAAGACCTGGCCTGGGTGCTGCCCAACGCAAGAAAACTGGCGCAAAGCCCGAATTAACGGAAGAACAAAAGCAAGAAATCCGTGAAGCCTTTGACTTGTTTGATACAGATGGAACTGGCACAATTGATGTCAAGGAACTGAAGGTAAGAATCTGATTCTCCAAATGCAGTCTGTTAGTGTTGTTTAGAAATGTAGAGCTGCAGCTAACGATTATTTTCAAAATCAATTAGTTAGCCGATTATTAAGTCCGATTAATCGGTTAATCAGATAAAAAATAAAAAAAATGTTAAATGGCCCCAGTGATGGGTCTACTAGTTTGTATTGAGATTGCAGTCCATAACAGGAGCAAGCTTGGAGCGGTGGAAGTAAAAGAGAAAAAAAAATAGTGTGGTGTGCAATATAGTGAAATGAAAAGTGTAAAATTATACAGCAATGAATGCAGAATGGCGTAGGCTCTAGAGCCATGGTTCTCAACTGGTGGGTCGTGACCCAAAAGTGGGTCTCGGCCCCATGTCCAGTGGGTCGCCAGATGCCTTCCACTTTTCTAGGTGAGAGTATCCTTGTCCTCCCCTTAGAGAAGCACTGTCAGTTCTCGCACCGAGCAGCCATTCAAAAATATGAACTTGAGGTGGGGCTATGGCCGCGAGGGAGCTCCATCCATACCTGCATTGCTTACAGCTCATCACCTTCTGGCTCCCGGCACCTCTACGGGCACACACGGGAGCTTTACAAGCAATACACATATGGATGTAGCTCCATCACAGCTCAGCAGCCCACACTGGACCCCAGGTTGAGGATCCACTCCAATTTGCATAATGGCAACCCAAACACACCTCCTGCCCACAGTTCGATCGCCTGCACCGGAAAGCGCAGTACCGCAACAGGGAACATTGCAGTGCAACTTGGGTCGCGACTTAATGACCGAGGACAAATGTGGGTCCCGAGGTTAAACAGGTTGAGAACCACTGCTCTAGAGGACTACAAATCCCAGTAATACATTATACAGCACAATACAGAATACCACCAGTTGCTTACTTGAGCAGTCTTCCAGCAACTTGCTTCTGAGATCGGGCCTGTCTATTGGTGGCTGCCATCCGCCCACACCTGCTCCTCCTTACTTCTTCTCTCCGCGTCCGTGTGCCAATCGTGGATTTGGGCGGGCGAATCTGGCAGCGGCGAGCGTGAGGTGGGGAGGTGGTGTGGCGCGCAGCGTGTGTGGAGCCGTGAACAGGGCCAACCAATAGGAATCCGATTAATCGATGATTGAAAAAGTTGACAACTTTTTCAATCATCGATTTATAATCGATTATGTCGATTAGTTGTTGCAGCCCTATAGAAATGAGAACTGCGTTCCAACTCACAGAGTGCTGAGGAGGGATTCTGCCAGAATGAATAAGAATATTATTATTATTACTATTCTTCAGGATTTATAGAACACCGGCAGTTTGCCCAGCACTTTACAATATAAGGATGACATGATAGTTAGGAGCTTAGTCTAAAAGGGGAGGGGCAAGTGATACAAAAGGTGCCCTCCGTGGGGGAATGAGTTGCTTGAGAAAGTGATAGTTCAGCGGGTAGGTAGAGGTGGGATAAGTTTCACTAAAGAGATGAGTTTTCAGGGAATTCTATATTTGCACAAAATTAAGCTGGCCATACGAGGGGGGAACTGAGGCCGGTTCTTGATGAACTTGCTGAAATTCTCTCCGACGGTGGCCCTGTTGGCATCCTCCTATCTGACATCTGGGCCAAAAAATGTCAGTTGAACAGTGACTGCAGCCAATCGGATTCAGTCACCGTTTGGGTATTCTGACAGGGGCACACCCACTGCTGTCCAAATACAATAGCCTGTTGAGCATGGATGGAGGAATCGGGAAGAACAAAAGAAAAACAAATCTACTAGTGTATGGCTGGCTTTTGATAGAACAATACATGCCTTCAAACCGCCATGGGTTGCTGTGCCACATTTGTGTGTAATGGGTTGTATGAGGGGACCTGATGGGGCTTTTCTACCACCCCTCCATCTTTCTGTTCAGCCATTTTCTGTTCAGTTCAGCTGTCTAAAGCATGGCGCCTATAAAGCAGATTTGAGCCAGGGTATGCTACTTTCTAAAAGCAGAACCATAATGGTTTTGGATCAGCTTGACTTTTAGAATGTGTTTTTCAGTTTTTAAACGCATGTTTATACCCTGTGCTTCCATGACCCTGGTGTTGCAGAACGTCATGTGTTTTCTAAAGAGCGAGCACAGCACTAGCTGTTTGCTTTGAGACTGGTTATTTCTAATTGAGGATCTGTATTGCGCCCATAGAGAAATGAGATAAGAAGTTATCACTCCACAGCTGTTTTAGGTAGTTAAAGCATGAACTCTGTAAACCCATATGCAAAACACCCAGATAATAGGAGTATTTGTAGTGCACATATTACTCTTCAGAGCCTCGCCTCCCTATGCTTAACCGTTTCATACCATATACTTGCCCAAACAACATGTTTATTTTTTACTTTCAAGTAGCTTCATAATGCCACATCACCTTTCTCAGTGACGTGCAGTAAGCTTTGTGCTGAGTGAGGCATTGCCATTGGTCCGAGCCATCCACAGAGCTGAAGCCTCTAACACAGAGTAGAGGCTGTTGCATCTCTGGCCTCACTATGTTAGGTTACACAAAGCAGTGGGGAAGCCTGCTGCTGTGTAACCTAACTTAGATGTTGGTTTTGGGTGCATATTTCCTGACCTTTTAGCCCTTGTTCACACCAAGCACATTCCAAGAGCAGAGCAGTTACAGACCGGATCAAAACTGCGTCCAATGTATTCCAATGGTATTTTGGGCTCTAGTTCACACCGCAGCGTTCAGTTCCAGAGCATGTAAAAACGCATGCAAACACCCTGGAACGCACTAAAAGCCCATTCTAAACTTTAAAATTTTTATTTTTTTACCAAAAATGTAGCACAACCCACTGCACTGCATGTGCAGAAACTCATGCAGATCTGGTCTGCATTGGTGGGAACAAGGCCTTAGTGGTCTTTGTGTCTTCAATGTCACTGCCCATGTAATGATTCCTTTGCATGTATACTCTATACGGATGGGAAAATTGTGACATAGCCAAAGATTGTTCAAAGTGGCATTGCATGCTGGGTTTTGTAGCTTCTTAGCAGCGTAAGATGGTATTGGAAAGTGGGGGAGGGGGTATGGAACAGTTATATAGACATCCTTGGTAATTCAGTGGAATATTATCTGCCTTCAGAGTGACCAACCCAGCAACTCATTATTGAAAGCACTCATTCTTTTTATGTTGCATATTATTGCAAGCTATACAGTTACAAGGTTAACACATACAAATATTTTTTATTTATTTTTATTAAGTCAATTACAGTTACATATGTATTTAAAAAAAAAAAAAAAGTGAGGGGGGGAATTTATCAAAACTGGGGCAGACAAAATCAGTTGCCCATGGTAACCAATCAGCATTTCTTCAGTTTGCTCAGGTAAGATTTGAAAATGAGACAGAGAAGCTGATGGGTTGCAGTACAAATCTGCTCCACATTTTGTCTGCTCCAGTTTTGATACATTTCCCCCCTGAGACTATTAATTTCTTGTAAATTTTTCTCATGTGACTGTAACCGTCTTTAGAACAATACAGATCATCGCCTGTGAAGGTTCTCATTCATCCAGGTCATGGAATATCTGTAGAAAATAAATCGAAGCAACTGGACTTGCTTTATTTTTTCTTAGAGGTTTTCAGGAAAAATACAGCAAGTCCAGTTGCTTTGATTTTTTTTTTTTTTTACTAGCACAGGCCATGATTTAGGAAACCACTATTGCTAGGTAGGAAAATTATGCCTGAGACTTGTTTTAATCTGAATGTTTTCCTGACTAGAATGGACAATTGGTTGTTTCATATTACATGCATATAAGACTTGGGGAGGGAGGCGTTTGTTTTTTCTGACCGCATTATTTCCTAATATCCAGCCATTGCAGCTTGTCTTTCCCCAGCCCCGCATTTTCAATCCTTTTAGTCTTTGGGCTCTTCAATTCTGCGCTTTTTCTCACTTGAGACAGTTGTGCTCTTGCTGCATGGAGGAAAACACCGCTTTCCCCTTGTGAAATGGGGAGCAGTTTAAGTTCAGAGATGTAAAAGTTGCAAACTATAGTTCAGGCCATGGTGTGAGCAAGGTGTTCTAAAGAAGAGCTCCAGGAAAAAAAAAATGTATTAACCCTTGTAGTGGGGTTACCCTCGCACTGCAAGGGTTAAGTGCTCGTCTTTGTCTAGGTTATAAAAAAAAAAAGTTCTACTCGCCTGATGCTCTGAGCTGGCTTGTTCTTGGACTGATCCTTCCAACCACTGCAGCGGTCCAAGGTCCCGTAAATCATCACGTTTTATACACAGTGTATAGACATGAGGACGCTGCGGAAGGTTCCAGTGCTGCACAGGAGAAGGAGACCGACAGAAGAGATCCAGCTGGCTGGCTCGGAGCTTTGACTGAGTATAACTTTATTTTAGCACTTGCAGTGCGGGGGTAGCCTCACTGCAAGGGTTAAGAAAACCTTTTCCTGTAGTTTCTTCTTTAGGAAACATACAAACATATGGCTCGTTGCCAATGCAGTGGTAGAGAGTACTGTTTACATATAGGATGCCTAAGTGTGTTGGATATGGACTGATGTACTATTTGTCCCCTCGTAGGTTGCTATGCGTGCCTTGGGTTTTGAGCCAAAGAAGGAAGAAATGAAGAAAATGATCTCTGACATTGATAAAGATGGCTCTGGCACTATTGACTTTGAAGATTTCTTAGCTCTAATGACACAGAAAATGGTAAGTGCCGCAGTTCCTTCTGCTTATCACTTCATGTGAATTATTGAATGCTTACTCCGGTCTTATTCCATGATTGCCAGAGTGAGAAGGACTCTAAAGAGGAAATCATGAAGGCTTTTCGACTGTTTGATGATGACGGCACAGGAAAAATTTCCTTCAAAAACTTGAAGAGGGTTGCCAAGGAGTTGGGAGAGAACCTTACTGATGAGGAATTGCAGGTATTTCAAAAAATAAGATATTTACTTAAAGCAAACTGGTGCTTTGTCCATGTAAACCAACAGGTTGACTCGAATGCCTGCCTCCTGCATATACCGTTTTTCCCTTTGCTCTCCCACTGCTCCAACTTGCTGGAGCAAAGAGACGTACCCAGTGCTTCAGGTACTGGTAGCATGTAACTTTCTCCCTTTTTCACAACAGTGATTCAAGTACCCAATGCTGCAGATTCTAGGCCTTTTGATTGTGTGGGGTTTCTCCCCCCCCCACTCTGACCAGAATTACTTGGTGCTTAGACAGGGCTTTGTTTTTTTACATCAACAGGAGAGCAATAGGAAGGTGGCATTTAGGTGAACTTTTTGCTTTGCCATACATGGGAGAAGCAGTATTCACAGGCATTGCCTTCTTTTATATAGGGCAGTGATGGCGAACCATTTGAGCCCAAGGGCCAAAACTGGATCACTAAACCAACTTATGTACCTTTAAAGTGCCAACCCTGCAATTAGGCCTTAATACTCTCAGGGGGGCTCTGCGGTTCTAAGGTTGTCTGTATGGGCTCTCGGGGCGGCCTGTATGGGCTCTCGGGGCGGCCTGCAGGGGATCAGCAGTAATGGAATGCAATAAGGCATTGGAAAAAGGTGAAAACTAGAATTGTATTTAAAACAGCGCAAATTGTTTCAGATACTTGAGATTTTGGTATACTAAATGTGAGTTTACATTCAACTTCAGTGGCATCACTCACTCCCCAAGTAACACTGTACCAGCTCTCTGCCCTCTGTGTACGCCCCTCCCACAGCGAGCCACCGTCACATGCACACAGGACATCCCATACTCCCTCCTTACTGTTGACTGACAGCGCCCTCGGTGAATCCACACATGCAGCTGTCGCCTCTCAGCCAATCGGGGCAGGCAAGGTTCTGGTTCTCATCCTAGCTTGTTGTGGGCCAAGAGGTGGCTGTGTGCTGGGAATGGTTGGTGCTGCGGGTAACTGTTCTCGCTGGAGCCCTTTGTTAATGCAGACCTGGTCACGCATGCAAGCATACAGGGTTAACTAGATACATTTGCTGCAAACCTCTTTACCTTTGCAGTCTGTTGCAATCCCTTTTGGAGATGAATATACAGGTGTCTCTAGAGGATATTTATTCTGTCATTGTTCTTGCTGCAAATTAAACTGTATGTTTGTGCTAACACTAAATGTAATGTGTTCTAGGAAATGATTGATGAAGCAGACCGCGATGGGGATGGAGAAATTAATGAACAAGAATTTCTTCGGATTATGAGAAAAACCAGCCTTTATTAGTACATAACAGGGAATGCCAACAACTACTGAGCACATACAAAAGCAGAAAGAAGGAAAGGAAACTTGCATCAAGACCTCATTTCAGGACTGGTATCCAGACAATGGATTATTTTATTACTGCATCTATGCTCTGAAATGTGCCACTATGGAAAGCAAGGCCAGACGTTCTGCACTGTTGGCCTTATTCAATAAAGAGTTCTCGTTCTTAAGTTCAATATCCAGACAGATGAAAACAAGCACTCAACCCCTTTTCCGTGCAGGCGTAGCCCCACTGCAAGGATTAAGAATAATTCTGTCTGGAGTAGCTCTTTAAGAATTGCCACTTGGAAGTCCTACTCAAGGCAAACCTTTTCTTTTTATTGTATAGGGTAGGGAAATAAAGTGCCAGAACGTTTTACTTCTTTCTGTGTCACTGTTCGTGAGATTTATCCTGACTGTTTCCCGTGTGTTGGACACAAAAGTAAGTGAGGAGTGATCTTTTGAATGGGAACACATTCGACAAAAGGAAGTTGATATAGTTGGTCCAACCCTTCCCCACATTTCTAAATTAAAGAATAAAAGTTTTAAGGATACGAAATCTACAATGTTTAGGGCCGTATGTACTTTAACCTTGTTTTGGTATACTTTGTAAATAGTATTTCAAGAAAGAAGAAAATCCTATAAGAAGGACACAGTAGATATGTTGCCCATTGCAACCAAATGGATTTTCAGCTTTCATTTTTGATTGAAGTTAATGGACAACGTTTTTATTTGCTCCTATCTGTTTTTATGAATGAACGCATTTCACACCTTGCGTTACGTATGCATAGATACCGAATTGTATGTTTAGATATACTAACTGAATGTATCCATAGAACATAAGGGTTTCTCTTGTCTATTTTTGTACGTTGCTTGTTTTTCTTTTTCTGATATATTGTAATGGACAAATGGCTGATGGTCATTTTGCCTTGTCTTGGAAATGCGAGTCTTAAAGTTAATTGTAGAGTATTGATTGAATATTTTCTAATAAAAATATTTTTATAGATATGTTTGCTATGGAGTTCTTTCATTAGGAATCTCTTGCTGATTTGGGTTGAAGTGCCCATGGCACTTCCTTGTTTTAAAGGAGCTTAGGTTCAGCACAATCCATCTCCTTTAAGGGATGCCTCAAACTAGTCCAGTTCTGGAAAGGGTTTATTACACTTATTTAAAAACATGCTCCACATCTTTGAATGAGTGGGTAGACAGCATTAATACCACTGTAAAATTGGAACATATTACTATATAGAGGAGTCCCACACTAATTTGAAAGCCTATTAACTGGTTTATTGGATATAACAAACACATCAAGATCAGTCCACAGCGCTTTTGCTTTTTTCTTATCTGTTTGGTTTATTGGATACCATGGGTCTACCCCTGGTTCAGTTAATAAAAACAACATACTGTACTTAGATAAATGATCAACATACTGTATGATGGTTGGGAATTTAGCATGCTTGCATTTAGCGCTACTGCTGATCTAACCATACTGAGATTTTTCAAACTGTGCACTTTATTTTGACAACAGCAGAATTCTAGGCAAGGTCCTGTATAGAGGTAAAATTCGTATCAATAGTCAACTGACTTTGAAGATCCTTTGGAAGGTAAACCGTTTTTTTCAGCCAACTTTGTGATTAAACCCCACATCTGAGCATTTTGTTGCATGTTTTCTGAAACACAACAACACTCAACATGGAGAAGCCTATTATTTTCAATAGTGCCCATTCATACCTGAGCTTTGTGTTGCCTATTGCTTGTACCTTGAAGCTCAAAAAAGTACTTCATTTTGAGCCGACTTACATCTTGTTTGGCCCCATAGACTTTAATGGGAGGACCTGAAAAACACGCTTTTTTTTTGTCCACATGATTTTGTGTGAAACATCTGTCGCCTCTTAGCAGCTACCTTTCCATTTGGCTAAAAGCAAAATGTTCAAGCTGTAAAATGCCTGAAAAAACACTCAAAGGGCAGGTGCACACCTAGTTGTTTTTGGCACGATTTTTCGCTGCATAGAGATGTCTATGGGACCAAAACTGCATGACATCTGCCTGAAAATAGCTCCTGCATCTTTTTGCGTGACGGGCGTTTTCTTACACGTGACGCAACGATGAGGTGTGAACATTCACCAGTGACTTTAATCTCACAGCTTTGCGCCAACACTCTGTATTAGCAGCAAACACTTAATCTAGTCAAAAAAACATATCACAGTTAAGGTGGCCACACACCTTACGATAATCGTGGGAAATCCCATGATCGTGCGATTTATCGTAAGGTGTGTGGGAGCCGTGCGACCTCTGCTACTGTATGGTCGCACGACTTTTTATCTTAGGAACATGTTTCAAAACCCGCCGAGAATCGTACGATTTTGGCCGGGTGTGTAGCAGGGGCTGACTGGCACCTTTTAGCCCAGGGGGCAAGTAGAACCCAGAGGCCCGTGGTGCAGCAACTTGGCCCCCCTCCCGCTCTGCCTCTTCCCCGCCTTCTCCCCGCCCCTGTCTGCCACTTTTGCCACCCATGTAACAGTAGTGAATGGTCGGCTGATGTGAGGGATCCTAGTAAGTTCATGAAAGGGGTGATTGGCTGGGGGATGGTGCTCTCCTCCCACTGGGCTCCCTACATGGTTCTGGCCTTACTCCGCTCCATGTCTGGTACTTAGGCACTCTCACCCACTGTAGACCGCCGCTGGCTGTCCATGCTTCTGGGCTGTGAGCTGTGGGAGGGGCCGGACAGTTTTTCTCGACTGTGTCACATCCAGTGGGGCAGAGTCATCAGAATCAGCTGTTTTCATGACCGCCTTTCTTCATGGCATGTGTACCTGGAAGAGACGCGGTAGAGTATGGGTTGAAGAAAATTATAGCACACTGGTAGTGGAGGGATGCCTCGCCAGTGCTGTGCGCGTGTACGACTGCAGGGACGCTGGTAGTACTGCCACTAACTCCGAGCTGTAGAGGGACTACAAATCTCAGCACATTATACATCAATGCAGAATAATACCACCAGCTATAGAGGACTATAAATCTCAGAAATACATTGTACAGCATTGCAGAATGGCATTGGCTTGCAGAATGGCATTGGAGAACTACAATTCCAAGCAATACATTACACAACAATGCAGAATACCATCAGCTATAGAGGACTATAAATCCCAGCAATAATGACTACCAACAGTTATAGAGAACTACAATTCCAAGCAATACCATTATACAGCAATGCAGAACAGCATCAGCTATAGAGAACTACAAATCTCAGCAATACATATTACAGCAATGCAGAATAATATGAAGCTACATACTCTGTTGCTCTGGGTTCTCCACCTGATGTCTCCAGGGTCTCAGGAGGGTTGTGCGGGCTATAATCAGGGGTCCAGACCGTTTCACGGGTGCGTGTGGGTGCAGCAGAGGTGGCTCTCAGGTGGCCAATGCGGACTGTCAGGTGGTCAGTGCGGGATCTGTGGGGGCTCCCTAATAATCAGTGGTAGCTCCCAGGTGGGTAGTGGGGGCTCCACTGTGGCCAGTGGGGGCTCCCTGGTGGTTCGAGGGGGATCCCTGGTGTAGGGTGACCCTTTATCTAGAGCTGCAGCTAACGATTACTTTCAAAATCGATTAGTTAGCCGAATTTTAAGTTCAATTAACCTAGAGGGCAGCCCGCGGGGGCCTACAGAGGTCAGCCTAGAGGAGCGAGCGGCCGTCATGTACAGAGCCGCATCTGTAGCGGCTCTGTACTCTGTAAGTGGCGGCGGAGGGAGCCACTGCACCGGCGGCCGTAAAATTCCATTAGCGGGGCCAGTGAGGGGCCCCCTGACAGCCACGGGCAGCGGCCGTTTTTAAAGGCAGCACAGAGGCACGGGGGGCAATTGCCACCCTGCCCCCTGGCCCAGTCCGCCCCTGGTGTGTAGCATGTTCGTAAGATAAATGCCGCACGGGCCGGTCATCGGAAGCCCACCCCTCAGATCGTACGTTTTTTTAATTACCTTACAACCATCGCAAGAAAAAAGTATTGCGATGGTTGTAAGGTGTGTGCCCAGCCTTAGAAATAATAAATGTACAGTAATACCTCGGTTCACGAACGCTTCTGTTCGCGAACATTTCAGATAGCGAACAGGAAGTTCATCAAAATTTTGCTTCTGTTTGTGAACTCCTAATCGGGTGATGAACACGACCGCGGCCATCTTCCCCAATCTGGCACGTAGTCGTGGCTTTCTCTAGTGGAGATTGCGGTTGCAGACAGACCTTTGCTGTGAAGCTTCTTTGTGTGCTTTTTAGCACATACAGTACTGTACAGTATTATTTGATCCAGCATGGTGGTAAAAAGAAAGTGCAGCGTGGTAATGAATTTTCATGTGTATGTGTGTGTATATATATATATATATATATACACACACATACATACATATACACACATACATACATATACACACATACATACATATTATGAGGTGAGTGGAAATCACTCACCTCATAGTTCTCCTTTAAAAAAAGACCAACAGAGGTCCTGGCGGGGCCACACAATGGTTGAATTTTGACCAGTGTATGTCCACATTTTCTGTCCCTTGCCCAACCCTTTTTGTTCATTGGAGTTCAGTTCTTGTAATTATGGAGGCTCAGCATCACATGTGGACATCTGCATGCAATAGTCTGGCTAGGAATGGTCACTACTCCAGACTGACCCCCTCCCATCAAGAATTTATCAAAACGGAAGCAGTTATTCATAGTAAGTACCAATCAGCTTCTATCTTTCAGTTTCAAAGCTCAACTGAGCAAACCTAAAAGAGAAGCTGATTGGTTGCCATGGGCATCTGCTCCAGATTCTGTCTGCTCCAGTTTTGATAAATTCCCCTATATATATATATATATATAACGGAAAATTGTATACTTACCTTCGGTAATTTTCCTTTCCTGGCTCCTCCTCATGTCAGCCTTACGATGGGTCAGCCCCGTCCTCTTGACCCCCCACAGGACCACCCTCATAGCAGTTAAAAGGGGGACCTTCACCAGAGACCAGTGT